ACATAATTTTAAAGTTTTTTTTTTTAATAAATTTATTTGTAAGTGTTGCTAGTAAACATTTTTTTTCAAAATCAAATAATAATCAACAAGTGCCATGCGAGCCGATTTCCTTCAACGTAACGGCCCAGTTTACTTCAACCTTTCTTGGGCTAGGTTGAGGTTAGGGGATAATTGGATCTTTGATGGATCAAATTCTTGTGGGCTTTAGACGCAGAATAAACAAACGAAGTGAGTCTATCCCATAACCATTACATTCCTCTTTCACCCACTAGTGGATGAGTTGTCAGCACACTTTCAGCTTGATCAGAGTTTTTGATTTCAAACTCTGAAAATACAAATCCCATTAAAACTTGTGAAGGAAAACTTTTCCGCCAATTGAGTCCTGCTCGGCTCAAAGTCGGATCAGTGGTAAGCTAGTGAGCTTCCGGTATCCGGGTGCTCCATTCAAAAAAAAAAAATTACATTCCGCTTTCACCCTCGGCGCTTGGCGCCTCTTGACGGTCTCCAGTTCATTCCCCATTTATTCCAAAATGGAGATTTCTCTCTGTCGACTGCTGGTGTTGGTAGCTTTCCGGCCTTCCTGCCGACAACTAACTTTCGTCCCCGTTCTTAGTCGATTTCTTGAGGATCAACGTTCGTCGTTGGTCCAATTCAGCAAAGCCGCAATTTCAATGCTGCTCTTTTCACTGGAACCGGCTGCGAGTTGCTGTTATTTGGCCGGCGTAACCCGCGGCAGCCGGGATCAAATTATTGGACATTGAAGGTAGTGAGTAGCGAATATCAGTGGAATGGAGATCGAACTCAAGCGATTCGTATGATCTTTCATCATCTTCAGAGCGTCAATTTAAAGTATGTAGCCTGTTACGAATTTCAAGTTAATTGTTTCTTGTTCTTATTTTAATTTTGGAAAATTAAATCGGTTAAAGAATACTAGTTCCTATTTTATTCTTCCATTTGGATTATTTTTAAATTTTACTCTTTTTTTTTTAATAATTTCTCGTTCTTATTTTCGTTCAGAGAATATAATTGCTGGGGTTAGGTTGAGTCCAAGTGGCCTTTATAGTATTAGGAGCTATTGAAGGAGGAATAGAAAAGAGAATGAAAGTCAAGTTCATAATTTTCTTGAAAGCACATATCGAAGAATAAACTGATTAATTATAGTCAAAATTACAAGCTTAAATACTGAGAAGTAGTTAAATTAGAAATTGGGACAAAGCAGTAAAGCTTTAGAATTGTTTGATTATGAAAACTGCAGTAAAGCTTTGTAAATTGAATGTCACTTTCAATGCAGAAATTTGATGGAGCCTCAAATGGATACATTTGAAACTTTCTCCTCCTTTCATGTTTAGTCGTTGGAAGACTTTTAACAAAGCTCAATGCTCACTCCCGTTTGTCTGGTTCTACATATTCTAAACCTAGAAGTAATTAAATTAACAAGGCAAACGGGCCTATGTCTCAAAACTTTCGAAGTTGCTGGCTTGTTGCCAATATCATTTTCTCTCTTCTCTAAAACTCACAGTTATTTTGGTTTCTCTTGATATTGCGAGCAATGAGGATTTCAATATTTTCTTGGCTTTTTATGATACCCCTTACAACCATTTTCTTTGAGATTAATGTGGTTTTGTTTTCTGGTCAATGTCAAAGCAACCAGCAGGGGGTGCTGCTCAATTGAAGAACAGGCTCAAGTTCAATTCCTCTTCATCTGTTAAACTGGTGAAGTAGAATCAAAGCACAGATTGCTGCATGTGGGACAGTGTAAAATGTGATGCCAGAGGTTGTGTTACCAATCTTGATTTGAGCAAGGAATGGATTATTGATGGAGTTGATAATTTGAACAGTCTCTTCCATCTCCAGCATCTCCAGAGTTAAATTTGACATATAACAGCTTCAACTCCATGTTTCCTTCCAAGTTTGACAAACTTGCAAAATGGAGGCATCTTAATCTCTCCAATTCTGGCTTCACAGTGCAAATTTCACTGGAGATTTCTAGAATGACAAGCTTGGTAACTCTTGATTTCTCTATCGAATTCCTAATGGTTGGAGGTTCATTGAAACTTGAGAACCCAAATCTAGTTATGCTTCTTTGGAATCGAAAGGAGCTAAAGCATCTCTAGCTTGATGGAATCAATATATCAGC